CCAATAAAACTTTATTAATAGACACTGAATTTTGAGTATAATTCATATTAATTTTCACATGTCAGGAAATATTCTGCTTTTGATTTTCCCCAACCATTTAAATTGTAAAAACCACCTCTAGCTCGTAGGTTGTACAAAACAGGTAGTGAAGTGAATTTGGCCCACAAGCCATAGCTTGCCTACCTCTGCCCTATTGTTCCTCTGAATTTTTCATAGGTATCTTCTTAGAACCTGTGCAAATCATTTCCTGAGTTGAATACTAAACCAAATAGGTTTTTATGTTTAATGATTCTATTAGTTTTCTGTGGCCACCATCACAAATTGCCACAATTTAGCAGCTTAGAACAATGCAAATATACGATCTTGATGCCGAAAACTCGGCCTCTGTGCCCCGGTGCCGAATTGAATCTTGGAGACAGAGTTTGGGGTGAAGTAGAAAAGGATAGCTTTATTGCTTTGCCAGGAAAAGGGGGACACAGCGGGCTCGTGCCCCTGAAGAACTGTTGTCCCAAAATGGGAGGATTTGGTGAGGAGTTTTATAGCAGTGGTTCAAGGAGGGGGTTGCTGTTAAGATTAGGGTGTGTGCAGGGCCTGCACTCCTTTAATCTGGCCTCAGGTGGTCTCTTGATGAGCTTCTCTGGTTCCTTTAATCTGGCCTCAGGTGGTCTTCTCTGGAATGAACAATGCTGGCATCTTCCATTTGTTGGGGGTTTTAGTTCTGTAAAGAGCTCAAAGATACTGTTATGTGTATCCCTTGAGGAACCAGGGCCCTGCCCCAAGGCTGCACTATTGTTTCCTGGCTGCTCCTCCCTTGTTTCTGCATCTCCTCCCTCCTCTGATTAGCAACTGTTCGAATCTGCCCTTTGGAACACAGGGAAGGTCACAGAGGCTGGAGTCTGTTCCCTACAAACAAGAAATGACAGAAAGGCTTCCGTGCCCAGGAGCCCCACAGAGTCCTGCTCGGTTTCAGTCTCACAGTTCTGTAGCTCAGAAGTCTAGTTAGGCTTGGCTTGTTTCTCTACTCTCGGTTCACTAGGCTGAAATCAAGGTGTCCGCTGGCTGAGCTCCTATCAGGAGGTTCTGGGAAGATTCCCCTTCTAAGCTCATTTTGGTGGGCAGATTCTGATTCCTTGTGGCTGTAGGAACAGAGGCTTCTGTTTCCCCACTGGCTGTTAGCTAAGAGCCAGCCTTTGCTCCGAGAGGCCTCTCTCTCTGATCCTTGCATATGGACCGCTGCATCTCAGAGCCCTCTTCTCACCTTTGGAATCTGTCTGACTTCATTCCCATTCGGCAGCATCTCAGTATCCAACTTCCTCTGTTTTTAAGGGCTCAGTGATTACAGTGGGCCCACCCAGATAGTCCAGGACAAGCTCCCTATTTTAAGATCAGCTGATAGGTAACTTCAGTTCCCTCTGCAAAGTTCAATCACAGCAGCACCTAGATTAGCATTTGATTGAATAATTAAGGGACAGGAATCTAGAGGCAACATCTTTAGAATTTAGAATTGAACAATTACCAGGTAGATGTCCAACGTAAGTACTGATGTATAAGTCTAGATCACTTAAGATGTATCCAGAAATAATTTAACCCATTCAAGTATTCAGTTTGGGTGTATTTTATACAGTTTTGGAGCTAATCCAATAATCCTTGCTTCTCAATAGATGATCTAGCCACTTGAGAGGAAATTTGAGATGTACATGCTATGGTCATTCAATGAATAATTTACTCCAAGGATGACATTTTAACTTTTTTCCCAGTAGTAGAACTGGGTTTCATAGATAACTTACCTTTGTTTCCTACATTCAGTACTAGTTCAGGATAATTGCTGTGGAGAACAAATTGACATATTTTTCTGGAGTGATTTAAGATCTCATTGTTAATTTCTAAGTCCAACCAGATACTGAATCTCACGGATATAATACTCTAGGGCTAGAAATCTCTATTTGACTCCTAGCTGCTTTGCTTCAGCCACCATGTCAGACTTGTCACCGATCTTGCTGATTTTCATCCTCAGTTGTTACCTGAAAACTAGGTTTGCCTCTTGGTGGGTGTTGGGCCAATAGACACAGCCAAGCCAAAGGTCGGGAGAAGTAGGAAGTATTTATTATTACTTGCAGCAAGTAAGGAGAATACCAGGGATGGTTCTCAAAAGAGTGTCTCCCCAACAGCAAAACTGGGGAAGCTTTAAGCTAAGGGTACATGCATATACATGAGAGGGCTTCAGCGTAGAATTGGGGCAAGTTGACAGAGTCCAAGCTTCAGTTGATTGAAGTCAGGAGGGTCAACATTATCATTCCATCCTCCACCTGGGTGGGGGCCTTAGTTCCTGAAGAACTCAAAGATATTATGTTTATCCCTTGAGGAACCAGGACCCTGCCCCAAGGCTGCACTATTGTTTCTTGACTGCTCCTCGCTAGTTTCTGCATTCCCTCCCTTAAGATCATTAATTACTACGGGGCTTCCCTGGTGGCGCGGTGGTTGAGAGTCCGCCTGCCGATGTACGGGACACGGGTTCGTGCCCCGGTCCGGGAAGATCCCACATGCCGCGAGCGGCTGGGCCCGTGAGCCATGGCCGCTGAGCCTATGCGTCCGGAGCCTGTGCTCCGCAACGGGAGAGGCCACAGCAGTGAGAGGCCC